TTAATTTTTTCAGTTTTTGTTTATTTGTTATTTATTCCTTCATTTTAGGACAGCTTTCCTGTATATTCTATTCTTTTTTTCTTAATGTTTTATTTTATTTTTGAGAGAGAGAGAGAGAGAGTACAAGCAGGGGAGGGGCAGAGAGAGAAGGAGACACAGAATCTGAAGCAGACTCTAGGCCCCGAGCTCTCAGCACAGAGCCCAATGCGGAGCTCGAACTCACGAAATGTGAGATCATGACCTGCGCCAAAGTTGGACGCTTAACTGACAGAGCCCCCCAGGCACCCCTGTATATACTATTCTTTATTGACAGTCGTCTTTCAACTCACTGACTCCATCACCCCATTACCTTCTGCCCTAAAGGGTTTCAGATGGGAATTCACTGTTAATTTTACTGAGGAACAACGTAGGTGTTGAGTTAGTTTTGTCTTGCTGCTTACCAAGTCTTGGCTCATGAACCATTTGACTATTATTTTCTAGTTTTGGATTGCTTTGGATTTATCCTGAAAAAAAATTTAATGCTTCTTGGATGTGTAAAGTAATGTTTCTCATCAAATTTGGGAATGGAATTTTTCATCATTTTTCTCTTCACGTTTTCTTTCTGCCTCTTTCCTATCTTTTCAGCATTCTGATTAGGCTTATGTTTATCCTTGATGGTGTTTACAGTTTTCTGTGACCGTTTAATTTTCCTTCATTGTTTTCTCTTTTTATTCTTTAGAAATAATCATTTTATCTGGCCCATTTTCAGGTATACTGGTTCTTTCTTGTGCCACTGCAAACCTGCTCTTGAGTTCCTCTAATGATTTTTTATTTCAGGTATCGTACTCTCAAAGTACAAAATTTATAATTGGCTGTTTTAAAAAAATGTCTTTCTTTATTAGTACTCTTTATTTGGTGGGACATCATTATCTCCCATAGACATAGAAGATCTTTCACATACTCTGGGGATCTAGCAAGCTGCTTCAACCAGATCTTGTTCCTCAGATCTTCCTCTGTTGTTTGGGCAAACACTTGTTTGATCCAACTGCTGTAGGAACCTCAGGTACAATTGCTACTGATTGTTTTCAACAAACATCCTGAGTATTGCCGTCTTCCTTTGAGTCAGGTCAGTAAAGACATCACCTTGCCAACTGATTTTTTCCAGCGAGTTGTGAGACAGATAAAAAAGTAGCAATGCTCACGGGTGGAACTTTTTTCAAAGAGCTCAAATCTCAGTCTGTCCCCTTATGTTACTGCCTGCCAGTTTTTACAACTACGTTGGTGTCAAAGCTGATGATTTTCAAGCCTACTGCTAAGCAGTGGCGAGGAACATGGGAGTTACAACGTGAAAGTTATAAGGCCACAAACTGTGCTGTTCTTACTACGGCGTGGCAGTTTTTCTTGAATAAACACTACTCAGATTGTTGCAAGCCTTTCATTAATTTACCAGAGTTCTGAAAAAGTTAATTTTTACCATCTTTTCCAGTGTTTTTGTTGCTTTTATAGAGGAGTAAATATATGGTGGTTCTAACTCTGCCATTCCTTGCCTTTGTTTTTCTGGTAGCCTGGTTTTATTAGTTGAGAAATGGTTTTTGTTTTAGATCAGACTCTTGCTTCTCAAATTATGATCCTTGAATCATCAATATCAACATCACCTGGGAGTTTGGACAAATAGAATCACAGGCCCACTCCAACCCATGGGAGTCAGAATCTGCATTTAACCACATTGCCAGAGGATTTGTTTTTACATTAATGTTAGAGCACTGCAGGTCTAAATCAAGATTGCTCAAAGTTTAATCCATAGATAAGCTGTTTAAAAAGCATCTGGAGGGGAACCTGGGTGGCTCAGTTGGTTAAGCGTCCGACTTCGGCTCAGGTCATGATCTCGCAGTCCGTGAGTTCAAGCCCCACATCGGGCTCTGTGCTGACAGCTCAGAGCTTGGAACCTGTTTCAGATTCTGTGTCTCCCTCTCTCTCTGACCCTCCCCGGTTCATGCTTTGTCTCTCTCTGTCTCAAAAATAAATAAACGTTAAAAAAATTTTTTTTTAATAAATAAATAAAAATAAAAAATAAAAAGCATCTGGACAGCTTGTTTTAAATGGAAGTTTCTCGAACCCATGCCAGACTTGATGAAGTCATAATTCATGCACGTAGAAGCTTGGGAATCTGTATTTTGAACAAACACTACAGATGATCGTAATACACATTGAAGTGTGGGAACTGCCATTCAGAAGCTGCACTAATCAAATAGGGTTTTTTTCCATTTTAATGACAGTTTGTATTTCATTTTACAGTTAATATTTCTATTTTAAGGAGGGCATCTTCACTGTAATTAAGAGGGACTTTTCAAATGCTATTTTATCCCAAAATGACACATGCACACTGTATGAAAAATCTAATATTTATTTTACTGGTTTAGTCTCTTTATTTGTGTGTAAAATTGTGTTATCCTTGTGACTGTTTTTTAGCCAGAACAAATTATGACCAAAATAAATTGCCCTTATGATTCACCTTGGATTTATAGAAATATAAAGAAACATTGTACATTTTTTTTCTCATAATTTAATGAGGTTTAAATGAGAATTTAGTGCCTTAATTTAAATTAAAATTACTCTCTTGAGAGGATTTCTTCCTACTTTTGCTTAACTGTAACTTTAAAATGATATAAGCTAGTCTGGTAGTCTGATACATGTCTTATACAGTTCATAGTTAACATTTTACTACAGTTAATTTTGTATCTTTAAAGGGGCGCCTGGGTGGCTCAGTCGGTTAAGCGTCCGACTTCAGCTCAGGTCACGATCTCGCGGTCCGCGAGTTCGAGCCCCGCGTCGGGCTCTGGGCTGATGGCTCAGAGCCTGGAGCCTGCTTCCGATTCTGTGTCTCCCTCTCTCTCTGCCCCTCCCCCGTTCATGCTGTGTCTCTCTCTCTCTGTCCCAAAAATAAATAAACGTTAAAAAAAAATTAAAAAAAAAATGCTTAGTATTTAATATGGATGTAATTCCTTATAACCCTTAAATGAAACTCTCAGAACTACCAACCTAAAATAAAAGGACAGAAAGTGATGCTAACATTGTCATTGAGCAAGAATTCTGGTTCCCTGTGAGAGTCCTTCTAGCTGGACTAAGTATCACATTGACATGAAACAGATTAACAGGAGAAAATCAAATTTAATAGTGTAAGGTTGGGGAATCCACCCAGACTTGGAAATTCCAAGGACAGTCAAAATGAGGTATATATGTTATCCCGAGCTAAGGAGAAGTGGACAGGGGTCTGGGATTTTAAAGGAAAGGAATGCACCTCATGGGACAATAAAAAGAGCAGATGTTTGGTGATTAGATGTTTGCCCTGCCATACATTTGGGTCACTCGGGTAGAATTTATTTCTGCTAATAAAGCTTATTCCGGGGAAAGACCCCCAATTTAGAGTCTTCTGTATAGTTAAGGGAGGGGCAAAAGTTTCTCTTGCGTCCAGAAGGTTTTGATTGTATTAAGCTTAAAATAATCTGCATGCCAAAGAGGCACATTCTGGGAATGGGGGCTGTCCTGAACCCCTTCAACATTGAAACATTAGAATGTATGAATGTTTTAATTGTTTTTGTATGCAGTTGTTTGTGTGTTTGTGTTTCAATACTAAAACATTTGATTAATTTTATTATTGATCTATTTTTACTGTAAAGCTCATATTATGAGATAACTGTGACATAGTAAAGATTTATTTTAATGAATTGTTGGGAAGGAGGAATTTTTTTCTGCTTTTCAAGACCCTGAACTAAGAATCAAATTGGTATGAGACAGAGTAACAGGAAAAAATCATACTTAGTTTCTTACATAAGGGGAATTCACACACACACGAAATTGCAAAGACAGTGAGGCAACAAGAGGCTAAAATGAACTAAGGAGAAGGATAGAGGTGTGAGGATACAAAGGGGAAGAAGATCTTTAGCCAGAAGGTGAGAGGAAATGTCTGGAAAACAAAGATTGTCCTCTTCAGATAAATTTCTTAGGTAAAGAGGAATCTCTGTTAATAGCTCTTTTCCTGGCATAGGATCTCTTTTCCTATGTAAATTTAGTAAGTTGAGAGGAAGGTGAACAGCTTAGCATAAATCTGCTGGGTTTTGATTGCTTTTGACTCATAATAATCTTCGCACCAAAGTGGTTCATCTTCGTGTTGGCCCCTACAGAATCCAGTTTGAATAAATCTGCTCTTAATATTATGCACATTCTCTTCAACTCTGCAGATAGAACTCTGCTGTTGATATCTTTCACCCACAGCAAGAGAATCATTTCCACCCTATCCTCCACTATAATATGGGCAACCTAAGGCAGAGAGGATAACTGATTCATGCTTGTATAACCAGCATCTGGTCCCACATCTAACATATAATAGAGTCTCCATAATTGTTTCTTGAATGAATGAGCATTATCTTATAAGGAGGACTGAATTGCTATGTAATTCCCAAAGATAGCATAATTACTAATGCACTGATTAACTAGGTATCCTCATCTCATGTCCAGTCCTGAAAGAAACATTTCTCTTTTTTGGAAATAAGATTAGAAATTATGAAATGTGTACAGCTCTGACAATACATTGAGACCAGTATGTGATTCCATTTTGTTTCTGGAATATCATTTGGGCAGTCACTTGTGTTACAAATTTCCTTGCTTTGAGAATTAAGTATTGCCTTTCCATATAAAAGGCTATTCTTTTTTACATATTTCAATTCCAGATCTTTCCCTTTTTTTAAAAGTGATCTCTACACCCAGTGTGGGGCTCAAACTCACAGCCTTGAGATCAAGAGTTTGTGCTCTACCAACCGAGACAGTCATGTGCCCTGATCTTTCCCATTTTTTAATATATATGCTTTGAGATGCAAAATGAGAACATGTGGATTTTTTGAACTATAATTTATTCTGATTCGAATTATATTTTATGAATGAGGGAAAATTTTTAAAGAATGTTTTGTGGTCATTTGAATTTTGTTACAATAGAATTCAAAATAAGCCTTTTTTTTCCCATTTAGTGTCACATTGGTGGAATCCTCAACATTTATCTCTTTGCCATCTCAATTAACTGAATCTGGACAACTCATTAACCACAAGAACAGTGGGTAAGTATGAATATATTTTATACTCATAATTATCTGAGAATTCTGAGAAATGAGTTTTCAACTAAAATTGTTATATAACGTACAACAGTTTTCATTTCTTTAAAATATTGATATTATATATAACTTATGTTATTCACAGTTACACTATTCTCTTATGTGTTACTAGGCTATGTGCAGGAAAACTGAATAAATATGTACTTGATTAAATACAGTGGATTCTCATTATTTGTGGTCATTATGTTCTACAAAATTGTGATACTGACTGAAGGAATATTATTCTAGAAGAAGTCTATGTAATCACATAGATTGTAACTGTAAATCCTAAAAATAAGCTATCCTGGTAGATTCTATTTTCTTCACACAGAGAAAATGAGGTTTAGAAGTGTTTAAATAACTTGCATGAGGCTGACCCAGTAACAGCTGCCAGCAAATTGTTTCAAACCCTGTCCACCTGGTCCCAGAGCTGAAGTTTCTTGAATATTTGTACTTCTGTCATGCCTCCTACTATCTCCATCCTCTGGTCATCTGTGTATGAAAACTAAAGCAGAAAGGTCCAGTGTCACCTTGTTTGACCTTAACTAGAAATTTGTATGACCATTGACTGGAACTGTTTGCCACATGTCCACAAACAGCAGGAGAAGCTCCATGAGTATGGATTTGGGGGTTACAAATCACTTTTTAGCGAGGAGACAGATTTGCAAATAACCTTAATTTGTGGATAATGAGAATTGACTGTTTTTAAGCTTATTCCACCTACATTCAGAAGTCTGAATTTAGTTTAGAAAGAAACTTTGACTTTGGAATAGAGAAGCAGAACTTTTAAAAGTTAGATTGTTTTGTTTCTTATCTATTTTTAACTATAGAATAACTATTTAATGTGAAATAGAATAAAAACAATGTTGCCAAAGTTAAAGAAAGTTCAGCCAAAAGAGAAGAATGCAAGTATGTGTTAGTGAAATGTATGCATCTGTTGACTACTATGTTGTTAGTTTATTTTATACCTTTGTCTGTGTATTGCTTGACAACACTGTCATCCTTTTAGATGCAAAAACGTGTCAGGAGTCAAGGATTTGGCAATTTTGAAACCATAGGAATAACCACTGTTAAAGTGATTTGTGCAAATCATGCTAAGATTAAAATGAATATAGTTTATTTTCCGAAAACGAGTTGTATTTAAGCCAATAGTTCCATGAGATTATAAGGATTACATTTACTATGTTTGATTTCTTCATTTGCTATTCTGTGAGAAAAATTGTTAAAGGAAAAGCCATTTTTGTCTCAATGCCTTTGTTTTATTGAATGCTAATTACATGCTTAACTAAGGCATTCAAAGTCTTCCTTTTATATTTTGCTTTAATGAATAATAAAATATGAATTAATACCTTGAGCGATAAAACATCATTATAGATACCATATGAATTGTAGTACAATTTCATAGTATTGTAGGTATTTTATGTTAATTTCTTTGGAGTCTGAAATGCTGGTTTTCCCATACACTCTTCAGTAAATAGTTTTCCTAAGTTTTTGTCTTTTCAGTCCCTTGCTTCTTGATTAAACAGCTATTCGGCATCATAGGTTTTACCTAAATGGGCTTGAAATAATTTTCCCACATCAACCACAAATAAATTTATAGTATCACATATTAAACTGGAGTTAGATCGCAAGGCAATGCTATAGGTATCTGTGAGCATAAGTAACTCAAATTTGGATCAGTTTAATGAACAGTAACACTGAGTTCCCCTTTCTTAATTTGGAACGCAGTATAGAAATTCTGTATTCCAAATTTTAACATAATTTTTCTTCATATAATATTCTGGAATGGTTTTGATTAGATCCAAAGTTCCATAATTACTGAAGCTATAGGTAAAGACATCATTTTTATGTTATTCTTCTCAAATCTAAACTAAAATGGAATGAACAAGTATTAAGACTTTTATAATTTAACTTGAGCTGGAAAGGACACTTTACAAATACTCCCCCAAAGTAATTGCCAACTCAGCATGAAGTACACCTTAAGAAGTGTGTCTATCGTGTCTCAAAATTATTAATCATTCTTTCTCATATAGTTTCTTCCATTCATATTTATAAAACTTTCTTAGTTCCTTGCTCAAGGTTTCTTGTCATAAAATTAACATACAGATGTGGTGACATTGAGTATTGGTCAGAGAGAACACGATCCAATGTAGAGTAGTCACATGTCTGTAGATTAACTCTAAAAGAATGTTTCAGAGCCTTTTGTTTAAGGTATTAAGCATTTACTCCTGTGCACTTCAGGTCAAAGGTAAGAGTGAGATTTAAAAAGGCAAAGGCTATAGTTTTTCAAGAAGAAATGGACCTTGGTTTGTCATTTCAGCCCTGGCCTCAGCTAAATGCTGAGCCCCAAATCCACATGTTGGGTTGAAATAGAACAGTCTCAGGTTTATCCCAAAGGCTATTTTTCTGACATTTCTGAAGTGATTTATTAGAAGCACTTATGGCTCCTTCTTTTGGGGTCCTGTTTACTGTATAACACCTCTAGGATCCAGTTCATGTAGCAGGCAAATCTTTATTCACTTTCTCAAGAATCAGCTAAAGTATCCAGAGCTCTAACAATCAAATCCACTTTATAGGTAGCAGAAAGGAGGAAGCACAATAAAAGTGTGCCTCTTCTTTCTGAGTTAGGGAAGCTTCCCAGAAATAGCACACAGCATTTCTGATTATAGCCAGTTGGCCAGATCTAGCTGGCAAGAAGACTGAAAAACCATCGTTCTCCACATACACATCAAAAATAAAATGAGGGTTTGGGGGCACCTGGGTGGCTCAGTTGATTAAGCATCCAGCTCTTGGTTTTGCCTCAGGTCATGACCTCAGGGTTCGTGAGTTCACACTCCACATCAGGTTCTGTTGGCAGTGTGGAGCCTGCTTGGGATTCTCTCTCCCTCTCTCTCTGCCCATCCCCCACTCATGCTGTCTCTGCCCCTGTCTCAAAATAAATAAACTTTAAAATAAAATATAAAATAAAATAAAATAACGTTTGGTCAGTGAGGAGGAAAGGGCCCGTGGATATTGGGATAGGCAACCAACAAGTTCCACCATGAGGGGACACAAAAGAGAGTTTTATTTCAAACACCACAAAGGTATCTAGTATTTCATCAGTCTGGCTTCACTGGCATACTGAGGCCTTTTGGTCTTTAAATACATCTTAATAAAATAATACTAAGTGATGTTACACACTCTGTTTTTCTTAAAGCTCTCCTTAATGTTTGTCTTGAATAGATTTCCATATGCAAATAAAATTTAAGGACATACATTTTGAATCATGACCGGAATGGAAGTCATTAATAACTTTTGTATGTAATATACCATCCATTAAGCATTATCTCAATAAAACCCAGTCTGATCGCTAGGTCTAATCAGCAAGAGAACAAGAAAAGGTTAAAAAAAAATATTCCATAAACTGTCAGTAATCTTTATTTTTTAAAGCATTTAACAAATATCCCTGTTTTATTCCTTTTAGGCATGTGGTAATATTGCACTTCCCCAGTTGGAGTTAGGTGTGAACATATAACTTAATCGGCCAATGGCATCTGAGGATAAGTGCTGAACTTTTTCTCCAAAGGATAGCTTTAAGAGCCAGTGAACAATTTTTCGTGTTCCCTTTCCCTGATACAATTACTAAAGAAGCAAGTATAGAAATGGAGTCCCCTTGACAGAAATGCACCTTATTCTTTTCATTAGTCTCCATGTGTGATGAGGTAGTTTACATTTGCTTGATTTACTCAGATAATAAACATTTGGCAACAGTCAAAAAAAAAAAAAAAAAAAAGAAAGAAAGAATAGAAGAAAAAGAAAAAGAAAAAAGAAACGGAGTCCCCCTTCACCAAGGATCTCTGAGTGCTTCCTATCTATCTAGGATGGACATGTAATGTGAGCACGAAGTAACCTTGTGCTAATCCACTGAGATATGGGATGCTCCTGCAGCGTGACCTAGCACATGCAGATGCTCCTCCATAGATCACTTCAGTCACTATTTCCCCAGATAATAAATATTCTCTTCTCAAATGAGTAGTGAAGTGCTGAAATTATCTTTGAGGTGGTATAAAAAAAGGTAGTCTCTTATTAAAATTTTTAAAAATGCCTCTTTTTATAAACTGCTCTTCTTAAGGCAACGGATACATATAAAACAGCACATTTGGAACCACATGGATGATAAAACTTTATATTTATCACACATTTTACTTTATGGGAAAATGATCCATAAGCATAAGCAAGAGCAGTTAAGAAGTTTTTGTTTTTTTTTTTTTAATTTTTTTTTTCAACGTTTATTTATTTTTGGGACAGAGAGAGACAGAGCATGAACGGGGGAGGGGCAGAGAGAGAGGGAGACACAGAATCGGAAACAGGCTCCAGGCTCTGAGCCATCAGCCCAGAGCCCGACGCGGGGCTCGAACTCACGGACCGCGAGATCGTGACCTGGCTGAAGTCGGAGGCTTAACCGACTGCGCCACCCAGGCGCCCCAAGAAGTTTTTATTCTAATTAAATCCACAGGATTATGAAAAGGGATCAGAACAAGAGACTGATTTTAGCGACACTTAAAATTAAATGATGGGTCAACAGTGCTCAGAAATGAGCACTTTATAAATAATCTCCTCAGTGATATGACTTGATATTTTTTTCCAGTGACATTGAATCATTTATCATTTAATAAATTCTTACTAAGTGGCCCCTCAAGCAGTGTTCATAGTACCAGAGAAATACTGGGATAAATAAGTCAGAGATCTGGTTCTCAAGGAGCCAACCATCAAATAGAGAAGGAAAAACAAATCTACATAAATGGAGGTGATTGTACAGGGCAGAATGCATTCAGTAATATATGTTGACCAAAAAAAAAAAAAAAAAAAAGTTCTGTGAGTTCTTTGGCAAGGAATAGCACTATCTAGGTATTATAGAGATCTTTCTGGAGAACAAGGCATTTAAGAATAATGAGGTAGTAAGCACTTTTTTCTCATGCATATACGATACTCTGCTGTTCTTTATTGTCTACAAATTGGGATCTGAAACATGAGTAGGATTTTGATGGCATAAATCTAGAGCAAGGGAGAGTTTTCCTACAAGTATAAAAGGAGCTTGGGAGGAAGGAATTGCTGAGGCAGTGGAGGAGGGGACGGGCAAGGGGAAATACAAGACATATGCTTCTGCATATGGATTGTAGGAGAGTGTGAATGAAAGTCGAAAAGGTGTTGAAGTGTTTATCCTTCTGCTTTGTAATTATTTGTTGCAGACCTACTTTGTATGACAGACTGTATACTCCATGAGCTTAGGGGCTTCTTCATTCATTCTGTTCTCCAGGGTAGCTTGGCCCAGAATAGCCTCCCACCTGAAAGAAGGCCCAAGAGATATTTTTTCTGAGTCCTGATTCTTGCTCAAAACCCAGAAAGCTGTATTGTGCATGGCCATGATTTTAAAATATTTCATTGTACTACAGTGAATAATTGGTGACAATTAGAATTAGGCATATCTCCAAGGAAAGCTGAGTGAATCAAAGGCCAGATGTGTGTGCTAAGAGTAACCATCTGCCCTGGTCCTCTTGCTCTATATACCTGCTTTACAAACCTGCTTTTCATACCTGCTTTTAATGTCATCACACTCTTTGGCAGCCTGATGAAGCCTATTCTACTTTACAGAAAAATATTTTGTGAGTACTTAAAATAAGATGCAAGGGTTACAGAGTATCTTAATCTACCCAGGTTGCCATAACAAAATAACATAGGAAGGGTAGCTTCCACCACACAAATTTATTTCCCACAGCTATGGAGGCTGGAAGTCCAAGATCATGGTGTGGCCAAGGTCGGTTTCATTCGGAGGCCTCTTCTCTTGATTTGTAGGTGGCAGCCTTCTTGCTGTGGGTTTACGTGACCTCTGTGTGTACATAGAGACTGAGCTCACTGCTATTTTTTCTTATAAGGAAACTAATTCTGTTGTATCAGAGCCCCACCCTTATGACCTCATTTAACTTTAATAATGTTCTTTTAGTCCCTTTCTCCAAATACAGTCGTCTGGGTCATTAGTGCTACAACATATGAATTTAAGGGCAATACAGTTCAATCTATGGCACAGAGGAAACTAATATACCAGCAGTTAGAAAAATGTTAAAAATTGTAATATATTAAAATATATATAGTTCTTCATTAACACAATATGCAGTAAGATCTACTGGCACACATAATAACTATCATACTTTAAAAGTAGTTATGAATGTAAATAATAGCTTAAGATATGTACATAAATTAAAATGTGATATAAACATATTTGTGATTGTTTGGTGGCCAAGTCATATTACAGCAAATACTACTGTGGTTTGGTTTAAATTGCTATTAAGAGCTATTGGAAGTCAAGATGGAGTTTTTCCCCATTTGAATTCACATATCCACTCTGTCCTTGCGCCCAAGGTTCGTGCACCTTGCTTTACAGACTTCTCAATTGCTCAGGGGCCAAAGTGGTACAAACGGCAGCAAACATCCCATTTTTACCACCCTCCTTTTTTGAAGAACCTTGGGACACATGGAGGACAGAATGAATCTCAAAATTGACCCTCTTACATTTCTTCCCATAATTTGTGAAAACTAGTCTTTGACCAGAAAATTTTTTCTTTGATTTGGAGACCGCCCTGAATGCTGGCCCAGGAGTATCTTCATGAAGGCTTATAATAAAGATCTTCATTCTCTATTAGAAAAGGCTTGAGTAGGAGGAAGTCATTCTTCAGGCGGGTTTATTCATGCTCTGAGTAGAGCCAGTTCAACGTCATTTTGATCATCTTAGCTTGAAAAGAGCTGCGTACCATCACTGCAGAGGAAAAAGGAATGTCATCCCTTCATACCTCATAGATAGGTTTCACTCCCTGACCTTAACCTCCTACTAAATTACTGGAAAGCATTCCATTGCTTGATCTATAGCATTTTATATAATTTTAGCCTCTTTTCATGCTATTTCTCCCTTAAGACCCATGGTTTAAAAATGCCCCTTCTGCCATGGCTTCAACAATAATTGATGACCATTTAGGAAAATGATAACATAGACTGAGGGGCAAGGAGTTACCAAAGGTAGAGTTGATTTTCTGTTGTGTCTCTGAACCTGCAAGGTACTAGTTTTGTAAGCAAGTTGGGTTTATCACTGAATTTCTAGACTCGGGAACATTGATCAGGTAAAATAGAATTTTCCTGAACCAAATTATTTTATTAAATTATTTTCTGATTTCTCTTAATTAATCATGATCATTAATGCAATTAAGGCATTAACTAATTAATGCAAAAATTGCAGCAATTTTTTTCTGTCTTTACCATAAAAAGTACAGGTAACTCAATTTTTCTGGGTTTGAGAGTCTGCTTTGAGGATGAGGCAACTCTTATTTAATCAAAAGGCACTTTCATTGGCTATTCTTCAAGAAAATATGTAAAGAAAAGAAAAAGGAAATGAAGTCAAATTGCTCTGCTTTTCTATTCATTATGAAAAAAAAAATGACTGAAGGACTAGCAATTACAAGTATTGAACAAAATGAAGTTCTGAAATTATCTGAGGATTTTAATCAGGCATTCTACCCAGAGCTCCATTATCGAGATGGCAGTGGAACCATGCACTGAGAAATAAGCATTCTTTGTTGTTCTTTCCAATCTCTGTGTAGTCTCCCTTATAAATGCTAAATTATCTATCTAATATGTCTCTGATAGCCTTAAAGTATCTATCAAATGTTCAAATTACATAAAATATTGAACGGCCAATCAGAATGTCTGTGAGTTGAAGTAAAGCTGATAATAATTACAAGATGTGGTAAACCTTATTAAGAATGTTGTGGAAAGAAAAGGAGTGGAGAAAAGGAATCAATATGGTTAGAACTTGGAGATAGTCCATATATTTTACAGCATCATATTCAAGCGAAAGCAGATGACAAGGTTTTCATGTTCTCAGAAAAAAATCAGGCAAACCATATCCGAGAGCCTAGATGCTAATTGCCAGCTTGTTGAGCAAAGTAATCATGAATATTAAGAGGAGAGCAGTTTGGGGAAAATTGATGGGTTCTGGAAGATATGGAACCTTTCATGGGAGGCAGTTGCCACAGGCTATGATCTGCTAATTAATTTTCAGAAATGCAACCGGAGATTAAACAGCTGCCCATATCTCCTTCTGTCCTTATGGGAAAGAAGCAAATTGGAAACATCAGCTGAGAGAAGAGAATCTTTCAAGAAATCAAGTTCTAGAAGCCCTTTTGGAGAGAATACCTATGTAGTCCTAGGTTGAGACCACTACTTTGGGGTCCCAGGATTTGTTTATTGTTATTACTATTATTATTATTATTATTATTATTATTATTATTATTATTATTATCAAATGTTTCTCTGTCCAAAGTATTCAAAAGTGTTTTTTTACTAAATTTTACAAAACATTGGTGCACATATGAATCATTGTTAGTTTCCTTTTTGCCTTTTCTTTTAAAATTTCTGAAACCATATACACATAAAGGTGACATATGAAATGTGTCTGTGGTCTTTGCAGATCATGTAGGTAGCCATAATTTTTAAGGACCTATTGGATTTAAGGAAGATTGAGAATTGTTTTTGAGTTTCCTTTGTGTGGTTCATGTTGTTCTCCTGTTTACTTATGACAGGGATGCTGGGAGTAGCCCTGAAAGTGGTGATGTTGAGAGTTGTTGGCATTTCTCAAACGCCTTAAAAACCTGTGAGTACCTCAAGGAACAGCTTTTATTCGTCTTCACGTCTGACTTTTATGTGCAAAGTGTACTAGTGAATGAAATACTCAACAAAGCCTGGTTATGACAATAGACAGAATGGCAAGTTCAAGGTATCACTGTTGGAAGGAGAGGCCCAGGTGTTGGTCCTCAGCCTCTCATGTTCATGACCCTTTGCAGGACTCTGCCCACATCTTTCTTTTCACCGCCAATCCTAGTTTCCTTACCCGTACAATGAATGTATTTAGATAAATGACTTCGATGTTTCTTTTGGCTAATTCTGAACTGCTTAAACCCATTTAGATGGCAAGTATCACCATGTTTAAAATGATAAGGAGAACACAGATTTACTTTGTTTCGCAAAATAACTATAGATTTAGAACATATGAATGGAATATGGTTAGGACAGTGGATATAGGAATGTTCTGGTTATCTCTAGCTACAGAACAAGCCATCCCAAGTGTAGTAGCATTAAACAATTAATGTGTTAGCATTATTATCTCTCACACTTCTACAGTGACTGGTCTCAGCTAGACTCTTCTTTCTCAGGGTCTCTGGTGAAGTTAAGTCAGATGGAGGCTGGGCCTTGAGTCATCCCAAAGGCTTCCTTACTCACATGTCTGATGGTTAATACCTTTTGGCTAGGACCTCAAGTGGGACTGTTGGCCTAGACACTTACATGTGCCTTTTCATGTGGCATAGGGTTCTTCACAGGATGACAACCGCAAGTTAGCCGAGAAAGAGATGATTAGGAAGAAACTGTATTACATTTTTGCTCTAGTGTCAGAAATCACACTGCTGCATTCTAGCATAATGTTCATTAAGATCAAATCACTAAGACTGCCCCACCATATCACCACATCCAAGGCAGTGTTGAAGAACATGTAGACATGTTTTAAAACCAACAATATATACATATATATATATATATCCAACTATATATATGTGTGTGTGTGTATGTGTGTGTATGTGTATGTGTATTTGTATGTATACATATTTGTGTGTGTGTGTATATATATATATATGTATGTATATATATATATATAACATTCTTCTATTACCAGTTCAAACTATTACACCCTGTTATGTGAACTATTACATAGTCCACAGAAAAAGTCGAAGATGGTAGGATGACCCGTTTGCCATTTATATACGTATATCGGACTAATTGTAAATACTAGTGAAGTTCCCTTTGTAAAGAAATTATTTGTTAAGGAATCTTTAATTGAGGGTCATAATTACACATTATTTATGATCTCAAGCTTGTGCCGGTGTCACCCACACTTTCATTACAAATGCGTGTGTCATCTAATTTGGCGTGCTAATGCTTTGAATATTTTTTTAATTCATTTGAAAACTTTAAGCACTAATTGAAACAGCTGCTTTATTTGAACAGCACTTATGAAATGATATGTAAACAAATTCTCCTTCATGTTTTGGTAGCAATTAAGTCCACTTTCATCAGAGAATTCTTCTGCTCCACTCATACTCTTCACCTGGGAGTGAAGAGGACTTCAAGCCTGGAGCTCCTGTTTCTTCCCTTTGACATACACACGCGCTACTGTGTCATCATCCTCAGAAACAAAGCGGTGAGAACACGACTGTGGCAAGGGCTTTCATCATGGGCTGGCACTTTAATTGAGTAATCAATGCAGGTGACATGAAGGCAGAGCTTATCCTCACAAATAAGCAAAAAGTTACACTATTTGTGGGTAAAATTTATAATGTGGGGGGTGCCTGGGTGGCTCTGTCGGTTAAGCGTCCACCTTCAGCTCAGGTCATGATCTCACGGTTCATGAGTTCACGCGCCACATTGGGCTCTGTGCTGACAGCTCAGAGCCTGGAGCCTGCTTCAGATTTTCTCTCTCTCTCTCTCTCTCTCTCAAAAATAAGTAAATGTGAAAAAAAAATAAAGAGGGGCGCCTGGGTGGCTCAGTCGGTTGGGCGTCCGACTTCAGCCCGGGTCACGATCTCGCGGTCTGTGAGTTCGAGCCCGGCGTCGGGCTCTGGGCTGATGGCTCAGAGCCTGGGGCCTGCTTCCGATTCTGTGTCTCCCTCTCTCTCTGCCCCTCCCCCATTCAAGCTCTGTCTCTCTCTCTGTCTCAAAAATAAATAAACGTTAAAAAAAATAAAGAAAGAAAGAAAAAATATGATGGCTGCCTTAGAATGTCCCATAGGAGCAGACTGGCTGCATGCCTAACCTCGCTGTGGCTCTGTCTGTATTAGCTTTATGTATTTGCATAACACATTGCCAAACACTGAGGGGCTTAAAACAGTACACATTTATTGTGTCATGTTTTTCATAGATCAGAGGTCTGGGCATGACCTAGATGAGCCCTCTGTTTAAGGTCTGTTACGTCTTCAATCAAGGGATCTACCAGCACTGGATTCTCTTCAGAGGCTCCATTGAGGAAGGAGCTGCTTCTAAGCTCTCTCAGGTTATTGGCAGAATTAATTTTCTAGTGGCTCTGGCATTCATGGAGCTTGTTTCTTTTTTTTTTTTTTT